GCCAAGCCCTAAGACACTCAAGGCCTTCCATCAAGGCGTGGTCAGACACAGCTCATTTGCATTTTAACCTAGGAGCAAGACTCTTAGGCCCTTTTTCAAACCGGCAACTAGACCCTACCCCTACCCACTACCCCTCCGTTTGCGCGTCCTCACGGAGGGTCAGCCATATTAAGTCCGTCCCAAACCAACTAGCGGGGAGTGGTAGTGGGTTATAAAACCCTTCACCAGCGAGTGTGCACCGATGCCGACTTTCGGATCACTTGCAACGCCTATTGTGTCCGGTCGTCATGGATGAAGCAACCTGTGAGTTCAAACACTGCTCCAACTAAGATAGACATTTAATATCAACGTACAGATGTTAACAACTTGAAATATGTATTGTATTGAGGATCAAATATGTTTATTTATTGTAAAGTGTTTTATATTTACAGGGACTGTTGCAAAAACAAAAGAATAGTAAATCATGTTGCAGACAACTTTTCGCTGTTAATATTTATTTCTTATTTTTCAACTTTTGATGTCTTTGTGAAATCTCAATTCAACAATAAAACATACACTTTTTGCTGCTCTGATGTTCAACAATAGTCTCCTTGTCTTTGCATTAATTTAGGACACCCTGATCTAAAAATTACTAATATAACTAAATAAGAAGAATAATCTAGGCAACATAAATATTTCTACAGAATGCATTAGCTACAAAAAAAAGCCGTTCCCGCAAGATATCGCTGAGTCACCATGGTAACACAGTTCCTGTTTCCACCCGAGAGAGGGAAGTGTGTCCCAAAGCTTGCCACTGTATTTCTACCCTACATCTTGATGAAGGGGACTTCATTCGGGTGGCTGTGGCTCAGTTGGTAGAGTCACTGCCTCTCAACTGGAAGGTCAAGGGTTCAATCCCCAGCTGGGCAACATGTCTGATGTGTCCCTGGGCAAGACACTAAACCTGGAATTGCTCCCACTGCTTCAGTGGTGGTGCATGAATGGCATTAGTTACTTCTGATGGATGATACTACATACAGATCACTACCATCAGTGTGTGAAAGGGTGGGCGTGACATGTGGTGTAAAAGCGCCTTGACTAGAAAAGCGCTATATAAGCTCAAGTCCATTAACCATTCAGCTGAGAGTGTGACAGAGGGTGTAGGGGTTGGCCATGAAAGAGATATTCATTGTGAACAGGTGTTGATGAAGTAGTTGGCGTGGTGTGGTTTGGCAATGAAGATGGCTGAAGGAGGCACTGGAGAAAAAAGGTGGATAGCAAAAGTCAGTCCAACAAAAAGACTCACAGAATATTCACAAAACCCACAAAAGTTTGAGAGGACTATTACTACTGTTAAAGAGGCAGCTTGCAGGAGACTCAGGTAAACTGATAAGCTGCTGCTAATTAGGTCAAATGTGCAGCAGCTGTTTCAGCAGGGAGCCTCAGACCACACCTACAGCCTCTGCTACAGAAACAAGAAAAAAACACAAGACAAGGCAAAACTACACTAACAACAAGAACTAAAACACTACAAGTCCAGAGCATGACAACATTCTTGTGAAGTAGAGGCTGTTTTTGACATAAGGCTGTTTTGGCAGTTAAAGAGATACTTCAGCCATTTGCATTAATCTTTGTATCATTAAACCTGGTAGTATTTTTGAATGGTCGTGCATCCCGCCCTCATTTTCCCCTGAGACGGGAAATCTCTGTATTTCTAAGTCTGAAAAGGAGCTTCCAGAGCTTCCAGAGCTTCCAGAGCTTCCAGACGCAAAATGACCATTTTTGCGTCACTGAAAGCTGTTGCAGTTAGCGGGGTGAAACTACAACACTAGTTCCTCATATTTTCGACCACTGAAGTTAAGGACCAATCACAGATCAGTGGGTGGGAGCTCACGCCCAAAATCAAAACTTAACGTCCGCCATATTGCTTGGAAGCTATTTTAACAGGCTCTATGGAGAAAGCTGATAATGGTGAAAAAATATAAATATAGTGGCGAGACGGCTGGTGACAGGCCGGTCTTGTGTTTTGGCTGCTGCAGCCGCCGCGAGCTGGCCGCGACACAAGACCGGCCTGTCGGCAGCAACCGTCTCACGGCTATATTGCAAGGAGGACAAGGAGCCGGGGCCGGCTCGAGCTGGGGCGGACTGGTAGTTTCGGTGCTCTCGCTGTTTGCCTATGGACACAGTCATAGAGTCTGTTTTCTGCCAGGAATTTCCAAGATCAATTCTGGACAAAATCTCAGAATCATTTGAGGAAACGGCCTTATGTGTTGAAGTAAATATCTCTGTAAATGTTTTTATTAATATATTTCTACTGCTATATACTGTATATTTTGGAGAAACTGTAACGATCGAATTTTCCTCTGGGTAAATCAGTATTTCTGATTCTGAAATAGAGGACCTTAGTGGGAGTGGCCTGCGGTGCTGTGCATTCTGGGATTTGGTGTCTTTCATCAACATGAGCCAAAAAGACACTTTCTGCCTTTTCACAGTCAAGAAGGCACCAACTTCAAAATGTATTTCACATTTCTACTACATGTATGACCCAATGTCAATACAGATTCATGTTTCAACGGGTGAAGTATCCCTTTAATCACTTCAACTGACACTTAGTTGGCCAGTGGTTTAAGTTATTAATAGAAACTATATAGAAATAGCCAATCGTATCCCTGATGGTATGGATTTCTCTCATAGGTCAATTTCTGTTATTTAAGAACTGGCTATGAAACAATAAGAGTTTAGAGCCAAATCTATTTTATATTCTTTTCTATTTTACAATTAATCTCAAGAAAGAAACACATCACTTATAAAAACAAAACTTTCATTTTTAAATGGTATAATGACCTGTCTAATTTCATAATAGTTTGTATTAATGAATGTTACTTGTCTGGATTTATCTGTGTGTGTTCATGAGTGCAGAAATGAATAACCATGGGCAGCATTTGATGAGGTTACCATTAGGCTACCTGGTTAAGATTTAGCCTTAAGTGACCTGAATAGATGATGTTGTGATTGTTAATGTTAATAGTCAGTTGGAACAACAATCCTTGCATGCGTGCATACCCAAAACGAGACCAGAATAATTAAGGTGGAATAAACACACAGTAGGCAGTGGCGATTCTAGAGTCTGATGGGGCCCCAGGCAAAAATAATTTGGGGCCCTCCAACCAGGGTTCATCACCATCGTGTCTGCCAGTGTCCTGACAATTACTCCTCGTCCTATTTTTTCCTGTTTCTGTTTTTTCTCCTAAAGACATATAATTCCTCTTCCTTTTTCTCCCTTGACTTCCATTGACAAACTTTGGTTTTCACAGAAATAATGCTGTAACGTTCAGCAGAGCCAAGAGAGTGCTGTCAGATGGGGCCCCCTTAGGGAGGTTTTTTACTGGCATTGTAAGAATGGCAATTTATTTGGGTCACTGCTTTGGGTTTAAAGTTTGTCAGCCCTTGGGGGGCCCCTCTACTGGCCTGGGGCTCCAAGCAGTTGCCTGCTTTGCCTGTTGACAAGCAGCGCCTCTTACAGTAGGGCCTCAGCTGAACTGGATCTCTCTCGTTAAAACGTTATTGTCACACATCAATTGACATACATGCACACTTGACATAGCCTGTTAACACCAGCGCATATCATTGGCTGCTGGCAGTGTTCACCTGTATGTTAACACAGAACATAATAACCTTATTACAATTGAGAGTACACATATTTCCATTTATGTCTATGGCCTCTGCAGTTGCAGTAGATTACTGGGTTGTCTGTTTTATGGTCATGTTGTAAAATGGATATCCTGCCTGGTATGCATGTCGAGCGCTTAGAACAGGGTTTTTGCGTTTGATTGCTTTCATGCAACCTGCGAGAAAGAGAGAGAGCATGTCGCTGTCATGTATCTGGTGTGTGCAAGTCCTGCATCTCTTTATAGAGGCTAATTGTGTGTAAACCTGGAGTTATAATCGTAATCCTTGTTACATTACATTTTATATAATTCATAGTTGGATATAGCTGTGACCCGTTGTGCAAGTATCGGCTGTAGACAAAAACTGCTGACAGTGTTGTTGAAAATCTCAGCCGCAAATTGTAGCTCCGTTAAAGTGAAATGAATAGCACATTCTATTTCTGAAAAATATTTCACAATAAAATCCCCCACTTTTCAAACTGTTGAGACGCTTTAATTATTATTCTCCAACGGTTGTATAGTCATACAATGAAAGCTTGTTACTTGAAGGACCCGGCCTGTTTAAGGAGTTCACTTGTGAGAGGGAGGGGCCACCAGACCCAGAGGGGGCCCCCCCACCCCAAAATTCAGCAGCCTGTATTATTATGAATTCAGTTAGATTATTTGTTGTTTTCATGTTCTTGCATTGTCTCGCCTCTCCCTCCCGAGCACCCATACTCTCCACCTCAAATAGATCTGTGGTAAGGAGTGGACCCAATTGGCAGGTGAGTCACTTGGGTAGTATGACAGTGTGTGCGTGCGTGCGTGTGTGTGTATTTGAGAGAGGAAAGAGAAATAGATTTATAAAGAGAAATGGAATGGCAGTAACATGTAGAAGAAAACTTTGGGAGAAGGGAGAAGGAAGAAACTAAATACAAATAAATAAACAATCAAGTAAAGAATAAACGAATAAAAAGTTGATGCATGATGATATTTTGAAATTAAACAAACGAGGTGATGCCTGATGTATTTTGAAAGGAATAAAGGGAATAACATTATAAATCAAAGTAATAGTAAGAATACCAGAAACAGTTGAAGTAGTAAACCCAATATGTGTGTGTGTGTGTATATATATATATATATATATATAAAATACCAGGTATGTGCACTTCTAAATAGAACAATGATCATAATGATTATAATTATAGCCGAACTGATTAATCCCACATCGGTCTGAATAATAATAATAATATTTGCTGCCCTGATATAATGTTTAAATAGATGTGAAAATAAATCAAATGAAGTTATGGGTAGGTGAACATGTAAAATGATATTTCAGAGGGCTGGTTTAGTGTAAAGGAAAGTGAGACTAAGACAATTTAACTAAGTTTAATATAGAAATGGATTCTAAAGAGCAGATAGGGCCCCATTGTGCTTAAAAATACCAAATGTGACACAGAATAGAAGATTAAGTATACATGCATATTACATGACATGTGTCTCTCATACATGCAGCAAAATGCCTGAGTAGTTATACAATGTTCACTTGGCATCACTCAGGTCTTGAAATCATAACCTCTTTTTTTATAACAACCAGCATTGTGTTACCAGATGTGTGGTGTGTAGAGGCAGACTTTGAGCTTGTGCCATATTTTGAGTTATAAATACATAATTTTGAGAAATTTCTGTACTTCATCCAGAAAATGAACAGGGTTTGTAATTCATTTCTGCAAACTGATCTCCACATAGGAGATAAATTATGTTTAAATTTAAACTATTTTACTGTTGGTCAATAAAAGTTTTCAGTTTGAGATACATAATCTAAATCTGACCAAACGGTACTTCCTATGAAAACCATATCTTGTTTTTTACTATTTCACTTTTAGGGTAAACTGCCTACATTAAGTAGAGTATGACTCATGTGTTAAAGATTTTCAAAGCCTGCAGCAAGGCTTCCATCGGCACAAATGGACCAAAAGACCATTTGTGGATATTTGGCAATTGAACAGGTTTTGTAGTTAACGTGATCACTTAAGGGTCAACTCTGGGTTTTCAGTATGAAAATGGGGTTCTCTTCTTTCATGGAAAAATCAGTGTTAACATAGGCTGAAGATCTATGGGGTTCTCTTGATCCCTGAACTCAAAGAGGGGATTGTGAGAGGGGAGGAGGACAAGAGCATTCAGAGAAGTGTTTTCCCATGTCTTTATTTATATAAGGGATAAACATGTGAGTGATTTAATGTGATGTACTCATATCCTGCAACACAAACTAATAAAAGCACTGAAGCCTAGTCTTCTGATCTCCTGGAATTGTGTGTGTAAGTATGTTATTATTATTAGCTACATAAGTCAATATGAAACCGACGGGCTGCAGTACAAAAGCAAGTAGACATTTTTAAACAGTTATTCAGGCCAATAAGATACATCTTAATTCAAGTCTGATATCCTAGCAAGGAGAAAAAGAATATAGGCAAAAGTAAGAGGGACCAGCAGCTGAGCTGTATAGCCCCTTGAAAAAGAAGTGTATCCAGTGCATATTGCATAGTGGTGCAAAGATATTATAGTGCAATATTAATAGAGTACAGGCTGTAAGATGGTATAAATCTAGATGTGTATCAGTCTTGAAGACCAAGCCAGTTATGAAAGCCTCAGAGTCCCAGAGCGTCTTTCTGCACTTTACAACCCAACAGTGCATTTCCAGCATCCATGCACTCTTGCACACATGATGCTGAAAGAAAAGAAAAACAAACACATCAATTTAGATAAGTTAATGTGGTCCAGCAGCTGTGCTCAACAAGCAAACAGTTACAGTCTTTATTTCAGTTATTACCATTCTGTGCACGGAGCCATGACACAGCCTTCATGGCCAGAAGCTCCCACTCTTCCTGAACGTCAATCTTGAAACCATGAAGCCAGATCAAAGACAGAATGGTGGCCCATACTTCCTGGTTCACCTTATTCAATATATGAGGAAAAAGAACAAAGGATAACCATTAGAGGAAAGTTACATTGAGGGTGGAATACTGCTAGATGGTTTGACTTATTTTCATTTTGAATTGTTTTGTATTATTTATGTTGTGTTATGTTTGATCACCTCTGCTTGCTACATAAGTGTGTCATGAAATGTGCTTTAAGATAGATCCCTTTATTAATATAATTATTTCTTTAAGACAGTTACACACCGATGCAGGCTTTATCTCTTCCACCTCTTTACTGGTCTTGCCCAGTGCTGTAGCCAGAGCTGGAGCTAGGTCCCAGCAGCCAGACGCCTTCTGGAGGGAGACCAACTGAAGCAAAGGGTCCATGGGGAGCTGACTAGGCACGCATTGTTCTGATAAGAAAATCAATATGCAAAGAAAAAATATCAACACTCAATTACAAAGTTAATCAGACTGTAACATAAAATCATCCCCTATGTTAGGGCCAAACAAGTATGTCCATGCAGAAACAAGTACTAGGCTTTTATACTTGAAGCCCATGCTAAATATTACCAAAGCAAACCAAAGGGAAAACTAGTACTACACCTTGTGGTATTTCACAGTAAAGCTGCAAGAATTGATGAAAGTAATGTTGCCCCAGTAACTGTTTATGTTTTGTTTAGACATATTTATTCTTATGGAATCACTTTTTGTGTTCAACTGCATTCAGCTTTTTACTCACCACCAGTGTTGTCAAAGCCATCACATGACATTTGAATTTCATCATCCATCATTTCTTTGAGATAAAATAACAACAACTTGGGATCAGGATATAATAATAACAGTGGAATTATCAAAGAAGAAATTTGACATTTGACTTAACTAGACATTTATCTTTTCAGGTTTAACTCACGAGGATCATCACAGGACATGGCAACAAATCTTGACATACCATGGGGCTTACCACCTGAGAAAAAAAGAGAGTAATAGGATTTGTCATGAAATCATAAACTGCTTAATGCTTGTTCTTATTTTCAAATTTCAAACACTGATTTGCAGATTTCTATCCTCATGATGCTTCAATGGCTGTAGAGACTGTACAGAGCTGCAAACATGTCTTACCTTCTCGAGAACTCATAACCTTTGCCTTGGCTTTAGAGAGCAATCCATGTGTCCCAGAATCTGTGGAGAGAGTGGAATAAATACATACTTAAACCTAATAATAAGAGCGTAGAGGTGGGCAATATGGAAAAAATATCATATGATTTTTTTTTGGCAAAATCATGATCACGATTTTTTTCATACTGATCTTTAGACAAATTTGTAAGTTCCTGACCAGTTCAACCAAACTCATTTCCCTGTATAATGTTTTTAAATGCACAAAAACTGTGCTAACAAGTTTAATCTATTTGAAAAACATCTTTGTAGGAGGTCAGGCGGTCTCTCACCCAGAACATCTTTAGCAACAGAAATGTCTTTCCCTCAATTTGATCAATATTTATGAACAATTTGAAGGTTTTCCTCACCACTTTGAAATTATGATTTAGTTATGTGTCCTCTTTTTATGTTCATCAGGAACATTTTCACTCAGTGATGCATTCATTTAAAAACATGTAGACTTCAAGTTCTTGTGTTTCTGTTCTATTTTAGCCCTGCAGAGTTCCTACAGCTGTAGCTTCATACAGGCTCTGCAGCCTTTGTTGTTTTTTATGACATCATTGGACTAACTTTAGTTTGGCTTATATATAATCAAACATAATACAGAATGTGTTCATTCTGTGACACATGATCAAAGTAAGTTTTACTGAAAGAATAGTTTAATTCATAGAGGGGGCGGGACATGGTTGATTGACAGACAGACAGTCACTATGGTTACTCACTCTCACCTGCCTGCTGCACGCATCGTGTAACGTCGTTTAGTGTAATCCCTATAAGTTTGGTTATCACTACAGGTGAGCTTCAGGTGGAGAGGCTTGATAGTAACTTTTAAAAACTGAGAGAGAGCAGAAAACACCGACAGCAACATTTTAAACACTGGGGTTATATCTCTCATCACTGTCTGTCTGAGCTCCGCTCTGTCTGAATCTCTGCAGACTGTTAATGTCTCTCCGGCTTGTTAAACAGTTGCTTGTGTCGCCATCTGAGATGTAAACTTAACTGTGCACACTATGCAGATAAGTTAACTGTTTCTCACGCCGTGTCGGTTTGAGAAAATATCAGAACAGTTGCATATAACCAGGATGGAGTTGTTTTTGCGGACTTACTGTTACATCTTGTTTTCTTTCTCGCCACTGCGGAGCAAAAAGGAGAGGGTGAACATAAACTGCAGCATGATAGAATAAACACATTAGCCCGGTTCTATCTCTCTGCTTTGGCAGATCATCAGCACGTTAAAATTCTTCACAATCTAAAATCGTTATATCGCACACCACTAATAGGAGGACAGAACTCTCACAAATACCTAACATTCAGCATTTAGTTGTAACATTCCTTCATTTTAAAAAACAGTCCTCTATCATCACTCTGCCCAGAACAGAGAAATCTCTCCAGACTCTCAAAATGCAGGTTCAGAGTTGTTTCAGAGTAGTTTTCATCACCATATCTTTCATATCAAGAAAGATGACACATTCATTTGGGACATCATCCCCTATGTTAGGGCCAAACAAGTATGTCCATGCAGAAACAAGTACTAGGCTTTTATACTTGAAGCCCATGCTAAATATTACCAAAGCAAACCAAAGGGAAAACTAGTACTACACCTTGTGGTATTTCACAGTAAAGCTGCAAGAATTGATGAAAGTAATGTTGCCCCAGTAACTGTTTATGTTTTGTTTAGACATATTTATTCTTATGGAATCACTTTTTGTGTTCAACTGCATTCAGCTTTTTACTCACTTGCATAATGAACAATGCCACCCCGCTGTTGAGGCGTTGCACAGGCCATCATTCCTTTGAGACAAAACAACAACTTGAGATCAGAATATAATAAAAACAGTAGAATTACCAAAGAAGAAATTTGACATTTGACTTAACAAGACATTTATCTTTTCAGGTTTTTTGCTTACGAGGAGCACCACAGAACGTGGAAGAAGACATTGACATACCAAGGGACATAAACCCTGAGAAAAGAAAAAAGAGAGTATTAGGATTTGTCTTGAAATCAGAAAATGCTTAATGCTAGTTTTGATTTTCAAATGCTATGAAAACACTGACTTGCAGATGTGTATCCTCATGATGGATTAATGTTGGGTCTTTGTGGATAATAGAATTTAAAGTCAGGTCTTTTACCTCTTCTTTTGTAATATTATATAACAAAGCTCTTTTGTAAATTGTCTTGAGGTAATATTTGTTTTGAAATAAGGGTAAGGTCTTCAACTGACTCCCATTCACGATAGCTTATAGATAAAATTAAAGTGAGAATATTTCAAACACTCACTGGGTGTTGGAATATTTCTGCGCACCAGAGGTCCTTGTATCGCCTCGCCATCGCCTTTGTTGACAGCGATAAAGGCAGTGAAGGCACTGCTCACTCCTGATTGCACGCTGAGCTCCACCACCTTCTTCTTCACACTTTCATCCTGCTTTTCTCTAGACTCTCTGTCTTCCATCTCCAGGGAGCGAATCAGAGTCTGAGCAGCCAACCTGTGGACTGTTAGTCTGAAGAAAGAGATGAAAAACATTTGAAATATTGCAATTAACCTTTGAATCCTACAGAGCCCCTGAAGTCCTCAAAAGTAAAACATATATATATATATATATATATATATATATTGTGCGCACAAGTTAGATGATATCTTGTGTGCTCAAAATATTTTATATACATTTTGGGACTTCAGGGGTTCCGTAGAATCCTTTATTTCTATTGATCTCTTTTTCTGTACCAACTTCTCAGATTATTTCGAGCTGGGTGCTAATATCCAGCATTTATTATTTTGAGATGGTGAACAGCAAGTTGCTGCAGTTTGTGAGTACGATGATGATAAGAACTTAACAATGCATGTTTTTGTGGAGACTTTTCAAGATTCTATAATTGCATATATCATTTCAAAACTTAAGTTCACTTTCAAAAGGCCCACTCATATTGTATACAGTTTGGTAAGGAATTCAAAGAAGGCAATTTCTTAGGTGGAAAAGAGTCGGTGAAACATTAAGGAGCTGTTACAGGTAGATTTATAACAATTTGACGGCATTTTATTTACTGAAAGTAAAGTAATATGCTGTGATTAACGATATACGTTTTGGTGTTCTCACATCAGAGGCTGCAAATGTATCAACAAGTCTGTCCTACAGCCTCTAGGTGGCAGCAGTGAGTTTAAAAAAACACAACAAGAGAAGCTTCATGTCTGCACTACAAATCAACTGTGGAAAACAGAAACTGTTAAATTGGACAAAGATAAATGCAGGCAGCTTTGCACTACTTTTTGGTTCTGATTTCCACAAATCAACTGGCCCTGATGAGTTCAAAGGAGCAAAGCATTCATCTTTTGTTACTGCTTATAATATATTGTTTCATGATGCTGATCAAACAATTTCATTGGTAGCTGATTCATAGGAAAACAGAAGTGGCAGAGGCTAGTATCCTCAGGACAACATCCAACACTAGCTTGGGCTCATATTATAGTTAAATAGCATAATAACACAGTTGAAAGAGTTTTTAAAAGAAGGATGAAAAAGGATACTGTAAGCAGCAACATTTCAGACAGAAACTTGGCTGCTAATAGACGTCTTAAGTGTTCTGTGGGATTCAGCCACAGATTTTCTTTTAATCAGTACATATTATTTACATTTAAAATATTTCAAGCATAACTTGGTAAGGGACACAAATTACATTTTCTGGCCTTATTCATACACAATGGTTTACTTGTTGAAAATCTGTATTTATGTGCGCATGTATATTTATTTATACTTCCGACTACCTCTTAATTTGATTAAAAAACAATTGGGAATAAAAACACCATCACACTGTTTTTGAACAACTAATGTTTTACGTTACTTAAACACAATTGAAGTCGAGTTTTCAGAAATCTTTTATCAGTATGACCGACCTATTCTCCACTCCGTGTGTGAGCCACTGTGCTCGCACTTAATACTGCTAATTTCCCTTTACCCAGGGATGTGATGTTTGTTCATCACCTGAATAACCAACTCAACATTTTGATGGACTGTATGAAAAGAATCTTTTTTTACCCAGTGTCCTCTGCAGGTTTCAGACTGAAAGTAAACTGGTTCTGAGAGGGCTGACCTGCCAGGCTGTACTTCACAGTCACACAGCCCTCTGCTGCCTCTGAAATCTGAGAAGTATTACAATTTTATAAACCTTACTGGAAAAAATAAAAAACATTTTAGAATCATATAGTGGGCTCCTACCTGTCCAGTGAGCTGGGCATAAAGCAGTGACCTTTGACCCTGGAAAAGTGCTGTGATTGGCGGGGAGAGGACAGTAACAGACACATCCTTTGGCAAATCCCAGGTGACTGAGATGTCTATCACAGCTGGTTGCAGAGCATATCGCAGTGACTGCATCACCTGGTCAGGAGAAGTCTGTTAAAACTAGTTTTGCTTACTCATCCACCTGAAACCACAAATTCTATCAAAATGTATATATTAGGTTAACTTGACAGCTTTTTGTGTCTAGAGTTTATCTTACTTTGGGTTGCAACCTGTCAGTCCCTGTGATGAACTGAGCATGACCTCCTCCTTCCTTGGCCAACCCATTGATAAGAGCAGAGCTTGCACCTTCTCCAATCCCAAAAGAGAAACATCTACAATGCAGAAGTTTTATTTTTAGAAGATAGCAGGAGAGCATCGGATATATTCTGTTAACTGTGTGAGTGTTGATAATCTTTCTGTGGTTTCACCTGTGTGTATGTGAATTTTTCTTCACCACATCTATGACTTGTTTGGTGTTCCCCACTTCTCCGTCAGTGAAGACAAACAGCTAGTCAAGAGAGTTTACATGTCACTTAAAGTTATGTTTCATTACATCAAGATACATGCAGCTTTTGTTTGAGTCATTAAAAACATTCTCTACATGCTGTAAGCAGGGGTGTGTCCAGACTTTTGGACTGAGGGGGCCCAACTGGGGTACTGACTTGTGCAGGGGTGGCATGATGTTTGTGCGTACACACATGAATAAAGAGCATTTGTTTACCCCTTCTGTTTGCACCAATCACATCACCTTTTGAGTAACATAAGTTAATGGCAACATATACACCTTCTAAGGTTCAAGGATCCAAAACAATATGTACGTCCAAAGTCCCAATTTTAAGTATTTTAAAAACAGCAAACATACACCTGCCCACTGAGAACTATGAGCTGCCTGTTGCAACACAGCCTGAATAGTAATGTCAACATAAGCCCCGCCTCTGGCAAGGGAAATAGCCAATCGTAATTAAGGATTTTTGGGAGGCACCCAGGGTGCCCCTGGGCCACCCCTCTGGACACACACCTGGCTGTAATGTTCAGAAAACTTTAGTTTTTTTGGTTAAGTGAAAAGAAACAAAGTATGGCAAGAAGTAACTTTAAACAAACCAGTTAGTTCAAAGTTACCACTAAATGGTATGTTACTGTAACAAGACGTTAAACCTATTTAACATGTGTGTATGTGTGTGTGTGTGTGTGTATATGTATGTGTGTGTGTATATGTATGTGTATGTATATGTGTGTGTGTGCGTGTATATGTATATGTGTGTGTGTGTGTGTGTATATGTATATATGTGTGTGTGTATATGTATATGTGTGTGTATATGTGTGTGTGTATGTATATGTGTGTGTGTGTATATGTATATGTGTGTATATGTATATGTGTGTGTGTGTGTATATGTACATGTATATGTGTGTGTGTATGTATGTATATGTATATGTGTGTGTGTGGTGTGTGTATATGTATATGTATATGTGTGTGTGTGTGTGTGTGTGTATGTATGTACATGTGTGTGTGTGTGTGTGTGGTGTATATGTATATGTGTGTGTGTATATGTACATGTATATGTGCGTGTGTGTGTGTGTGTGTATATGTATATGTGTGTGGGTGTGTGTTGTGTTGTGTTGTGTGGTGTGTGTGAGTGTGTGGTGTGTTGTGTTGTGTGGTGTGTGTGGGTGTGTGTTGTGTTGTGTTGTGTTGTGTTGTGTGGTGTGTGGTGTGTGTTGTGTGGTGTGTGGTGTGTGGTGTGTGGTGTGTGGTGTGTGTGAGTGTGTGGTGTGTTGTGTGTGTAGTACGAGTCTATTACTTGTCTTGGTTGGTTGTGGATGCAGGGCTGGCTGTAAATATGTTTAAGGGGCTCAAGGATCTCTGTTCCTCCCAGATTAGCCCCCATCTCCCCAACTTTCTTCAAGGCCGTTTCCATGGTCGTTTGGCTGTACTCCACACTCTTCCTGTCATCACATCAATACAAAAAAACATTGCCAGAGCACGCAAAACATGTGGACAGATAAACACCAAAGACATGAACAAACTTGTCTGACTGACTGAGGGAGGGGCTTACGGGAAGATGTGTTCAAATCTGGACCCAAAGCTATAAATGTTGAAATAGCAGCCCATTGGTAAACTCTTTAACAGGAGGAGAAGAGTATCCTAAGGGGAAAGAACAAAGACAATGAAGGCCATAGTGTGAGCAGACTACTTGAAAATATTTCATGACCAAATATACATCAATACCCTGGCGCTGCCAATGCGCGTCTGAGCATTCTTGCTGTTGTTCAGACGTGCATCCATGCTGCCAGATCGATCCAATAAGAACACAAACTCTCCACATGAAGCAACTGAAGACATCACAGCCTGTGGAAACTCAGGGTACAGACTCAGCATCACTACTGGATCCCCCATCAGAGTGCCTGACACACAAGAAATTACATAACTCTTTTACCATTCATTCCAGCATTTGTAACTTATGAGAGCAATCTTTGTACATTTTTTAAATCAACTTCCCACACTGACCAGGTTTGGCAGAGGCCTGTCCTGTCTCCACCACAGCAGTAGGTTGGTGGGCATCTTTGTAATAAATCAGCAGTTCAACATCCCTGTCAAACTTGTGCCCAGCAGCCAGCTTGATCTGTAGACCACACATTTATAAACATCAAAAATGTAATCACTTTTCTTCTATCCTTACTTTAAAGTAAGAATCACAACACATGAATGCTCTACCTACCGTGGCTTGGGTTTGCTCTGTGTTGAGATACTGAGGTGGATCAAGGGAACAGTTTGACTCTATTTTAGATACCGGACGGGGAGATGACACTTGGGCACAGAAAGCCAGGCTGTAGGGCACCAAAGAAGATGGAAGAGATGCCACTTGGACGTTGCCACCTCCACTTCCTTTGGACAATTTAGAAATGTTTAAGGTATAATATTAACAGTTAAATAAAAGTAAAATGTTTGTTTTTATAAACCTGAACAAATTTCAGGAGAAAGAAAATAAAATGTATTATATCTCAAGGAAACAAAAAAAAACATTATATGTAAACATAGAATTAAAGTTTCGGACAAATCTGCTGATTTTCTTACCTTGAGGTTGGTAGCGAGGGTTAAGCACAGCCGGAAGACAAAACCTCAGGCCGTCATCAGCCTGCACAGTTAGCTCGGTGACATACTCCAGTCTGATTGAGGCACTCTCTCCTGGTGGGAGACTGCCTACACTCAGAGAGAATATATCTGGACTTTGTTCACTCTCCTCCAATAGAAAAGCTTGCTGACCGGAGCTCAAAGCATCATCGTACTCCTCACGAGCCTAGGGAACAGATTACACATTAAACTGTGTTTACTGTGTTATACTGTAAATTCTGTTGTAATGGACAAACCCTTCCTGTGTAACTTACCTTCTGTTTCTCCTTCACATCAGCTACTATCTCTGTCTGTCCAATCTTAGCACTGAAATGACAGACAGCAGCATCTCCAGGCAGAGGGAAAACAAAAACAGCCTCTAACGGTTTGTCTTCTTTGTTCTCATAGGTCAGAGTGGAGACCACTGTAGCTACATGGTCCCTCACCTCCAGCTCCACCTCCACACTCTTCAGAGGAACTGACCAAGAAACAGAAGGAAACACAATGAACACAACTTACCAGAAATACAGCTTTGTTCATGTCATGATGATATTGACCAGTTGTTGATAATGCTAAATGTTATTCCTTTATAGCTAGTCGTTATCCCTACAGATTGAAAGTCCCTTCCTGACACACAGCCAATATCTCCATAAGAAAGATCTCTAGAACCATAAACAGGAAGAACAGGCAAGAAGTCATTATTCGACTGCAGAAGGAAACAAAACATACAAGGGGATACAAAAACAGAATCAACTGCAAAGAGATTTATTAGATACTATTTCTTTAGTACTCTTCAAAGCTGTTTATGGTTACTACAGACTCATTTGTTTGAACAATCAGACTCAGGAAAAGGTCATTCCATTTTGGAGTTTTTCAGTTTACAAAATCCACATTTTGTATAGGTTCAACTCAAAATATATTTGAAATGAATTGCAAGGTCTCTGTACCTGGTTCGTTTTTCACCGTAAGCAGACCACAGCAGTTCACCATGATTCCTGTTTTCAGGTTACTCGGTTGCAGCGATTTATTGCTGTTAAAAGAAGATACAAGAAATTAAATTGTATACTTTGTTATGCTGACAAGTAAAAGCAAAGAAGTCATGACTGGACATTTTGTAAAAATAATGTGGTAAATGCATGCAATAAAGTACAATATCATTTTCAATCAGTCACTGTTTGGGATAGGCTATGTGAGCTCATGAGTTTTTTTACTTACAACAAATGCATGCTAGCATCAGTCACTACCTTTACAGCCTTTATTTCTGTGATTGTGTTGTTTAAATATCCCAAACTATGGAATATTAATGGAGAGGCTGCATAAAACTTTGATCTGTAAAGACGGCAGATATAATCAGTAACACTGAACTAAAAGTAGAACAATACAAAGTCAATAATCAGGTGTTTATCAGGAGGTTCTTCCTGTTTGACGACATGTGAAGCAGACCTATCCATCAGCCCTGTGAGAGATATCCATTCTTCAAGACTTTTTAAAGTACCTTTTTCCTTAAATAGGGTTAGGGTTAGGGTTAGGGTAAGAGTATTTCGTAGGCTATACTTTATAGACTGTAAGGCCACCCTAGTTATTCTTCAGAGCTGGGACTTTAGGGTATCTAAATAAAACTACAGCCTACTTGACTTGACTTCCTAACCATAACACAAAGAGGTGTTATAGCCTACAATCATCGGATTATTGGATTTAAGATCCCAATCACGGACAATAATGCACCTACCTGTGTAAAGAGAAAGTACCCTGTAGTCTATGATCCTGCACAGGAGATTCACAAAAAATGAATCATCGCTTACGGAAGGCGTCTGCTCCAGATAAACTTCCTCACACTTGATCCACGCCTACAGGTTTACACGGTAAACAGGTGTTTCCCGTATTTACCCACGGAAGTGTAGTCTACTGACGGTTAGTTTGTTCACCCCACCCCAAACTGACTCTTCAATAAAAAATGTTGTTCTGCTCTCAGCTGTGGGGGCGGACCTGTAACCGGAAGCGTCCGCGCTTCAAGGCTTCATGCCAAACAAACGCATTACCATGTGCCCCTAAAAGTCCACTGTTTACACGTATTACACCTATTATTAACAAACATGCACTCTGTCTGACCCAACATAGCCTAGTTCGTTTCTTTATCAAAAATCCATTTGATGCGATTTGGTAATCTCGCGGGACAGGGACGAGTTTTGGGAGGTTTGTTTTTATTATCACTTTCTTTTTCTTCTTTGGGGTTTTATGGCGGTTGCCAAACAAAGACTTGGTGCATTTCCGCCACATCTGGAGTGTGAATCAGAATATCTAATGAGCAGGGCCTACTCTGATATTTGACTGCGGTCAAACCAGCCGCTCTTTGTGTTTACATGGTGAAGTGAGCGGCCCCTAAATTTGAAGTGCTCACGTATTCTGATCTTTATGGTAAATGCTCCGGACTCCAGAGCGAGCAGGAGTAACAGACAGAGAGAGCGAGTCCGTTATTAATCTCCTTTTTTTAAATAAAGTGATAAATGCAGAAGTCTTACCTTAAAACTGGCTATGAGATACATGTGTATGACACGGGAGCAAACAAAATACTGTTCAGGGAATAGCTTCAGAGGTCGGTGAAATTTGTTTGAGAATAATTCTGCGAGTCTGCGGTAACTTCCGTTTTTCAAAATAAGGTGTTGACAATTAAAAAAACAGTTTTCCTGGGGGGGAAAGATATATATATATATATATATATATATATATATGTTCTTCCATAAGTACACAATGATTCTGATATGGTTGGATTTAGAACTTCTTAGACTATGAAGTACTTTTACTGTGTGCTTTCTGAGAAATCCACTGTCAAGCTCCCTTATACAGCACAGCTCTCTGCAGTGTTTTGAATCGCTCTTTCTATGTTTCTATGTATCTATGTTGCACTTTTAAGATTGTGCAATAAACACACATACAAGGATGTTTCAAATATGAATAATCTGTCACGAGTAAAAAAATACTATTGACATTTTTTTTACATTCATTACATTAACATTTTCGTAGAACATACATATGAAATTACAAAGACTATGAACACCAACAGCTATATACATCTATCTTTTTTCTTCAAATTTGAACCAATACAGATATAAACAAAGATTTAAACAAACAAAAAATACAGCCATCAAATTAAAAATATGAGATAAGTTTTGTCCCAAGCGCTCACATGTCTTTATTTGGTAAGCCCACATGACATTTTTAAGTGTTTTATTTTCTGCCCTAACTGCAAAGAGCACAATCCCAATTGTTCACCCTTGCATGTTGGAGTTATTGTTCATTCATCCATGGCTAGGCACTGCTCATGGTACCATCTTTTGCATGTGTCACACTGTTTCTATAAAATAAAATGTGCAAACCTTTATCAACTTGTCAGGAATAGAGAATCTTGTGCAATAGAGAACCATTTCTAGTTAGGCAGGGCAATCTATACACATCATCATCTTCTATTTAGATTTGTATGTGGGAATTTTACAAACATTACTCTTTGCAAAAGTTTGCAGCATGTTTGCAATAACTCCTTATCTCCAACTCCTTATAATGTAATTGTATTATCTACTCAACAACTGAGCTCCTATCTCCCATGAGAAGACTTAATTGTAATATCATTATTGAGCATATGCATTTATTTTTTAATTTGTGGGGGGAATGATGAACAAGAGGTTGGTTTTTGAAAGAGTAACCTCTGGTAACACAGGACATCTTCTTTTTCTTGATTTTGTAAAAATCCTTGTAATTTCAAGCATTCTTTTTTTCCATATATGCCATAAACTTGCTTACTTTCTATATCTTTGAATTATTTGAAAATATTTTGTTAAAGTATGAAGGGGTTGAGGCTGGACTGAATTTCATTGTGTAGTGATCTGCAATGACAATAAAGGATCCATCCATCTATAACTAACAAAGACCTTGGCCCTCCAAATCCTTCATAAATACTGAACGAGAGGTCTCGTCCTTAACTATTCGAAAATAAATTATTTTAGAATAGCAGAATTTAATGTGTTTGACTCTTTTGAGCATGTGTATTCTCAAAGGTATGATTTATTTTTATGACATTGCTGATGTTTATGATACGTTAAAGGAAGAATATGCAACTTTTTGATCCAGCAGATGTCACCCTTGAGCACCAGCATGAAACCAAAACAACTCAAGCTGCATTGTTGTGTTAGCATGCTAATGCTAGCGATCTTTATTATGCTCTTATCTTCACATTGCATGTAAATTTACACAAAATGACCATGATCTAAAAACGCTTACGTGGCATTCAAATAAGCAGTGAGTACAGTATGTTATTCTTCTTTTCTATAGTCTCTCACTTAAACAACTTTTATACGTGAGGTGATGAGCCGGCCAGCTGTCCCGTCCATGTAAACACGGTGTAGATACGGCTCAGACAACATCACAGACAGTGGGACTCGGGTGTTACACTCATTGTAGACAGTCATGACTCACAGAGTTATTTTGCACAATCATGCACATCTGCACAACTGCACAGCTCCTCAACATCAAAGTCAGAAAATAAGACTCATTATAGTGATTTGCAAGGAACTTTGACAGTGGATTTCTCAAAAAGTAAACAGTAAAAATACTTCATTGTACCTGTGCATGTAGTCTAAGAAGTACTTAGTCCAACCATACCAGAATCATGGTGTACTTATGGAAGAATTTGTTTTTAAAAGACATCAAAGTCAGAAAAAAGACTCATTATAGTGATTTATAAAGAACTTTGACAGTGGATTTCTCAAAAAGTACACAGTAAAAGTACTTCATAGTACCTGTGCATGTAGGATGGACTAAGAAGTACTAAGTCCAACCATATCAGAACCATTGTGTACTTAAGGAAGAAAATATATTTATATATTTTTTTTTATTCAAGAAAACTGTTTTTTTTAAAAATTGTGAACACGGAAAACAGAAGTTACCGCAGACATGCAGTATTATTCTCAAACTAATGTAAACAGATTGTTGTGGTTGTTATATGTACTGTATATCTCATTCGCTTTTAGAGTGAGGTGTCCCTAGAGAGATATCATAACTGCCATAAAGCAGTTGTTGTTGTTATCCTGTTCGCGGTACACAGGTGTGTGTGTGGAATAAAGTGAAAGCCGTGGATAAAGAAGCTCCCCGTCTGTGTGCCGTTTATTCTTTTCTTATTAAGTGTATTTGGTCCGACGAACCCACAAAGCTCGGTTACACTAATTTCACCGACCTCCGAAGCTATTCCCTGTACAGTATTTTGTTTGCTCCAGTTTCATACACGTGTATCTCATAGCCAGTTTTATGGTAAGACTTCAGCATCCAGCCGAAGATTTCTGCCTTTTAATAAGACATTTTTTCTTACTACTGTAACTTTTTCTGCTTTGCTAAAGTGCTCATGATGGATAACATCTTTGTAACATAACAATAAGTAAGGTCTTTTCCCTGCTTTTTGTAACATAACAATAAGTAAGGTCTTTTACCTGCTTTTGTAACATATCAATGAGTAAGGTCTCTTACCTGCTTTTTGTAACATAACAATGAGTAAGGTCTTTTACCTGCTTTTGTAACATAACAATAAGTAAGGTCTCTTACCTGCTTTTTGTAACATAACAATGAGTAAGGTCTTTTACCTGCTTTTGTAACATAACAATAAGTAAGGTCTTTTTACCTGCTTTTTGTAAAGTGTCTCGAGATAACACTTGTTATGAGTTGATGCTATACAAATAAAAATTGATTGGTTGATTGATTGACACTTCTCATTTCCCCAGCCTTCCTTTGGATTCTGTAAAACCATCGTCCTTTCTATCGTTACATCTAATGACCTTGTACATGAGTTAGAAAATAAACAGGGAATTAGATGTTTTAATTGAAGAAAGGACATATAAAATGTATTTTCAAAATAGGGCAGAGTGGATGGAAAAAGGGGAGAAATGTATAAAATTGTTCCTGAGACTTCAACAAAGAAAATTATTAAAAAAGAACATTACTAACCTACAAAATAATGGGGAAATGTTACATAGACCGACAGATATAAGATATATTATATAATATAAGATATTCTCGTTCCAGCCGCAAACCATTCAAAGAGAAAATGTGAATGTGGTCAAACTTTTCCTGAGCATTATGAAAGAAATATTCAGTCTGATATAATGTCCTTTAACTCAGGCAGAACTCCTGGTTTAGATGGAATACCCACAGAAGTTTATCAGAAATTTTTCGACTTAATCAAGAACCCATTACTTTTGTGTTTTAATTTTACATATAATGTTGGATAACTGTCAAATTCTCAAAAAGAGGGCCTCATTTCACTACACTAAACAGGAAACCCAATGGTCAATATAAGGACACAGTAGATCTTAAGAACTGGAGACCAATCACACTCCAATGCCCATAGATTGAAAAAAGTGTTGTCTAATATTATTCATCAGAACCAATCAGGTTTTATGCAGGTTCCCTTCATTGGTAATAACATAAGACAATTGTTAGAAGTTATAGAAAATTATGAATTAGAAAAAGAGGCTGGCTTGATATTTTTTGCTGATTTGGAGAAGGCTTTTGATAAAATTCGTTTGGAATTTATTTTTAAGTGTTTGGGATTCTTTAACTTCGGTGAATCATTGATTAATTGGATTAGAGCTCTATATAATGGTACCAACTGCAAAATTATTAATAATGAATATATGTCTAAGTCTGTTTCCTTATTAAAAGGGGTAAAACAAGGATGTCCACTGTCCTCATATCTGTTTGCTGATGATGCCAGTTTCCTGATAAATCCAAAACGTTCCTGTGTGAAAGCCCTCCTCGAAGACTTGGACGTTTTCTCTAAAATATCTAGTCTAAATCCAAACTATGGAAAATGTGTTATACTTAGAATAGGGACTTTAAAGGGTACTAACTTTAATTTGCCATGTAACTTCCTGATTACTTGGACTGATGGACCAGTCAATGTGCTGGGGGATAGTGATTCCATAGGATCTGAAAGATCTATGTACAATTATAGTAACAAAATGGTTAAGATGAATAAAATGTTACAAATTTGGAGGGGTAAAACCCTAACACTCTTCGGAAAGATTTCTCTGGTAAACTCTCTTGTAGTGCCACATTTCA